CAAAGTTACGTGTTGTATTTGACGCCAAGGTGAAGTCTAACGGATTATCCCTCAACGAAGTTCTGATGATTGGACCGAAGATTCAGAACGATCTGTTTACAATCCAATTACGTTTCCGGATGCACATATATGCATTTTCTGGAGACGTTGAGAAAATGTTTAGGCAAGTGAAACTTGATCCAAGACAGACACATTACCACAGAACTTTCTGGCGTGACCAACCGATGGACCCGATAAAAGTGATGGAGTTGTTAACGGTGACCTACGGGACGTCTCCTGCATCGTTTTTGGCAGTAAGGTCCATGGTTCAACTAGCGAGAGAGGAAAGAGCCAACTTTCCTGCAGCTGCAGAGGCGATATTAGAGGACTGCTACATGGACGATATATTGAGTGGTGCCCCAACACTTGCATCCGCGAAGCAACTGCGAAGTGATATCGAGGAGCTTATGATGAAAGGAAAATTTCCTATCCGAAAATGGTGTACCAACGACGACGAAATTCTTGAAGGTGTTCCGGATCAAGACCGTGAAAAGCTAGTTCGAATAGGAGATTCTGGTACCAACGAAGCGATTCGAGCTTTAGGTGTTCTGTGGGACCCAAGATGTGATCAGTTCCTGTTTTGGAGAAGCCCGGAAGTGATGCAACCGGATGTGAAGGTGACTAAAAGGTATGTTCTCTCACAAATCGCCAAACTGTTTGATCCCCTTGGCCTCATATCACCTGTGATCGTTTTGGCTAAGTCCATCATGCAGCAATTGTGGGCTGATGGTCTGGGATGGGACGAGAGCCTAGAGGGCGAGTTGTTGAGTAGATGGGTGACCTTACATCAGTCATTGGTACAACTGAACGAGATACGAATACCGAGATGTGTTATGGCTCCTGGAGCTCAACGTATTGAGATTCACGGCTTCTCTGATGCGTCGTGTACTGCTTATGGTGCATGCGTTTATTTGCGTTGTGTTCAGGAGGACGGGGCAGTGTCAGTTAGGCTGCTTTGCAGTAAGTCAAGGATTGCCCCTCTGCGTCGTCTCACAATACCTAGATTAGAGCTGTGTGCCGCTGTGGTATTGGCCAAACTGGTTAGTGTAGTGATCCCTATTCTGAAAACCGAATTCCACGATATCAAGCTGTGGTCTGATAGCCAAATTGTGCTGGCATGGATAAAGAAGAATCCGGATCAACTTCAAGTCTACGTCAGAAACCGAGTTTTGGATATTAACAAACTGACTAGTTCCTACGAGTGGAAGTACGTCAGATCCGAGAATAATCCTGCGGATTTGGTGTCCAGAGGGTGTTACCCTGGTGTGTTGCATCGTTCTGATATGTGGTGGAATGGTCCACTATTTCTGCAAGATGTTAACTACGATATCCAGGAGACTCCGGTGATTCAAGATGAAGAGTTACCAGAAATGCGACAAGCTCAAGTGTGTAACCCAGCGGTCGATGTTGAAGACGATCCGGTATTCGAGCGGTGCGGATCGTTTTCCAAGCTGCAACGTGTACTGGCGCAGGTGGTGAGATTCACTCGACTGATACGAATGAAAAAGGAGAATCGTAAACATGCTAGATACATTTCTGTGCAAGACATGCGGAAGGCATTGGATTACATAGTAAGGATTTTGCAGAGGACCGGATTGAACGAGGAGATCCAGTGTGTTCAGCGTAAGGAGTTGCCGAAGCGATTGGCGAATCTTCAACCATTCCTGGACGAAGAAGGTTTCCTTCGCGTCGGCGGGCGTCTACAAAACTCTAAATTACCGTATGACGCCAAGCACCAATTACTTCTTCCACGCAATCACCGAGTGACGGAAATGTTGATTCGTCAATATCACGAGGAGAGACTGCATGAAGGGCCATCCGGTTTGCTGGCAGGAATAAGGCAGAAGTACTGGTTGGTAAATGCTCGATCTGCCATCCGGAAAGTGACTCGAAGCTGCGTAAAGTGTTTCAGGACTAAGCCGAGAGGAATTCAGCCCTTAATGGGAAATTTGCCGGAGGAGCGTGTGAATGTAGCAGCAGCGTTCGAACTCACTGGTGTGGATTACGCCGGCCCAGTGATTGTGAAAGAAGGAAGGTATAAGCCGAAACACGTAAAGGCATACATTGCACTGTTTGTCTGCCTTACAACGAAATCGATTCACCTTGAATTGGTTTCGGATTTGACAACCGAAGCTTTTCTCGCCGCTTTAGATCGTTTTATCAACCGTCGTGGAATGGTTCGTAAAATTATGTCAGATAACGCGACCAATTTTATTGGTGCTTCGAAAGAACTCCACAAATTGTACTTGATGTTCCGTGACGAGACCGCAAGAACGAAGATCAACGATTTTCTGCTCAAACGAGAGATTGAGTGGGAATTCATTCCGCCTAGATCACCCAACTTTGGGGGTTTGTGGGAGGCAGGAGTAAAGGTTGTCAAGTCCCACATATATCGGACTTTGGGCAACGCAATTTTGACGTTTGAGGAGTTCGGAACAGTATTGACCCACATCGAAGCCATAGTGAATTCCCGACCCTTGTATGCACTGTCTGAGGACCCGAACGAGCCGCTTCCGATAACACCTGCTCATTTGATGATTGGAAGACCATTGGAACCGATTTTGAAGCCGTCGTACTCCGATGTAGCAGTGAACCGTCTGTCCCGCTATCAGTATATGAACAATTTGCGTGATCGGTTTTGGGCAAAGTGGTCGCATGATTATCTATCAACGCTTCAATCGAGGGCAAAGTGGACAAAAAGTGAACCGAATGTGAAAATGGGTACTATTGTGCTACTGATGGAAGACAATCTACCAGTTCAGTCATGGAGGTTGGGTCAAATTGTTGCACTTTACCCGGGAAGGGATGACGTGATCAGAGTCGCCGACGTGAAGACTGCAACGGGAGTATTCCGGCGCTCCATTCGGAAGTTGGCGCCTCTTCCTATTACCGACAACGACCAATCGAAGATTTCCGCTTTTGGAATGGTATTCCAACCGGCGGGAGTATGTACGCGATGAACGCTTCCAATAGGAAAACGAACGACGTCATCGAATGGCGCATCCTGATTGGCTGACGCAGCCGATGAAAGAGTATAAAAGTAAACATCATTGTATTTCATGTTTCATTCTGTATCCTGCATTTAGCCATTGAAGAGGAAGCAGCGAATAAAAAGGCAAAATTGAGAACAGTGTCTCATTCTTTTCGTCCGAGAACGGAGATTTCCCGAGCATTCGTGCTTCGTCCAGTTCCTGTTCGTTCATCCACTGGTTGCATGTGGTGATCGATTCATCTTCCATAAGTTCCACCTAGTGGACACTTTTAAAAGAGTTGAACTTTCCTGTTTCCCTGCTCATCGGAGCCTTGTGTTCGGCAGTTTTGCCGTGGTCCTTCGAGAGAGAGAGAGATTTATTTCGCTGGTGGCTGTAGTGGTTACAGCTGTTGGCAGCTCAACGACTGGTGGCTGAAGAGTTATCAGCGACCCATCGTTCCTACGCTGTCCGCTGTGGTGTGCGCAGCCAACGGTGCATCGTCCCTTCGCTGGTAGCTGTGGTGTGCACAGCTGTCAGTGGCTCATCGTCCCACTACTGGTGGCTGTGAGGTGCACAGCTGTCGGTGGCTTGATCACGAGTTGTGTCGTGGTCCTTCGTTCGAGAGAGGCATCCCGTCGCTGGTGGCTGTAGCGTGTACAGCCATTGGTGACTCTTCGATCCCGTTGCTGGTGGCTGTGAAGTGCATAGCTGTCGGTGGCTCGATCACAAGGTAGGTTTTCTCTGTGCTGTTGTGGTAAGGGCAATGATCTACCCCAAGAGAGATTGAGTACATAACAAGTGTATTAAAAATGAAAGCACTGAGTTCAAAAAGCAATATAATAAATGTAAACAGCACGGCAACCAAAACATGCCACATCATGACGCGTGACCTTACGTGAAATTGGAACGTTGCAGCTGTTTGTTGGAATGCTTGCTTCATAACATCAATTTAAAACGGCAGCAGCATGCATCTTTATGCTTTTCCCTTTCCATAATATATGTAGATCAAGACCCTCCGGAGGAAATGTAGACAGCAGATATTGGAAGAGACAACCATCAGTCCGAGCAGCAGCATCCAAGCCTTCGGAACGACAGCTGTTCGGTTCAATGCAGGCGTGCAATTTTCCTATCTATGTACTTATATTGATACAAATTGTATGCAATGATTGGAAGGGCTGTCGGAAGAATGTTGAAACAAAGTAGCGATGATTTTTTAGTGAAATCTGTCGCTTTTGAAATATGGAACTTGTTACCTTCGGAAAATGACAAAATGCATAACCTTTCAAATCGTAGCAATGTTGTCTGCCTTGATAGGATAAGAAAATTCTCCAATTCAAAGGCAATCCCAACCGAAATTGCTTGAACTTTGAGTGAAACTTAAAGTGTTACCAGACTGGAATAAAGCAAAATTCTATCGCCTGAAAAGAAAATCACAACCACGGCTGTCAAGCAACAACAGAATCATAAACGAAAGCAATCGGCGCCGGCTGTAGTGGTGGTGGTGCTTGAACCAGTCGCACATCTGTCTCTAAAGCATACAATTTCACTACCCCATCCAGGCTGCAATCACACCGCAACTCTCAGCTCAGCCCAGCTGCTGCTCTTGTTCTCGGCCTACCCTACTTTTATAGTTGTATGGGCTGGTTTGCTTTTTCGCCTTACTGGCTTTTTTCCCCCTGTAAGTACGAGGGCTGAACCCCTGATTTCCATTTGCCGTACAACCGTTTGCAAGTCTCGCGCGCACACATCCTTTTAATGAAAAATAAAAAAAAAGGTTCAAATGTGTGCTAGTCATAAATCGTGGCACCTCCCTTCTTTTGGTTTTGATTTTGCTATTGTTGTGCGTTCAGATTCGAGTTGATTCGGAAGCGTAATATATGTGAGAGATTTTTCGAATGTATTAGAATCGGTAAATTTAAGTTTCCAGCAGGGACGCATTTACGGTTGAAAGTTGCCCTACTAACCAAATCATTTTCGTTTGCTCCACAGGTTCTCTGGATGTTGGATCTGATGCTGGCGGAATAAACTCAACAAATCCCTATTTTCAAAGGTAAGATAATCTAACCAACCTGGCTCCAGCTCTGCAGGCAACTTCTTTTCAACGAGACGGCAGTTGATTCTGACTTTTTTACTGCACCACACAACAGTTGTACATTAAATATTGTTGTCGGTACTGATTCTATCTTTAGACATGATGGCACCGTTCGCCCTCGTATAGGAAGCAGACGACGATGGTGGTTGTTAGAATTCTTAAATCAACTCGCATATCCACTTTCACGCGCTCGGTGTATCCTTATGCGTTCTCCGTATCGTTTGTCGTTGGCATCAGAAGCTTATCGGATTATTTCATTCTTAGCGTAGTCTTTGCAGTATGTACGTGATGGTGCTCTTTCGTACTGCGTCTGTACCGTGGCTATGTGCAGATTGTAAATTTTCCGATAAACTTTTAGAAAGCAATCACAACAATATATACACACAACCCATGCTTCTTTTAAGGTAAACCTGCAATGTCATAATCATGCCCCGCATTTTCACCGCTTTTCCGACCCCTGGATTCTGAAAACACGTGTTACGAAGCTAACAATGTGCTGAGAGCACTGCTATACTAGGGCATGAGGGTGGTTCAAACTTTCCATTTCACTCCACACACAGAGCGCAATCGAATCCCAAAACAGGTCCTAGTCATCCTTCTTCAATTAAAGCCAATTTGATTCACACAGCGGACAGCTTGGACCACCCTATTGGACGCGGTATTTTCGGTCGTTTTTACTACGTTGAACAACATTGCGAATACTGCCAAACAGTTGTTGTTGTTATTGTTATGGGGGTTATGTTTCAGCCGGTACGAGACGTAAATTTGTTTGATGTAGGGAGTTTCGGGTGTAAGTTACACTCGTGTGCGTTGTGTACCCAATGCAACAATTTCCATGCTTGGATGTTTGTCACTGATTGTTTAGGAGATTTTTGAAGTTTGTTTTTCTGGCATAGGTATGTTTTGGCACTGTTGGCTGAGAAAGTTTTCCGAGTCGTAAAGTATGAGGTTTCGCTCTTGTTTACATTTTGGGTTAACTCCAATGTTGTAAAGCAATGTAGTTGGGGGGAAACAAGTTGCATTCCCAAAAGAAACTTATGAAAACTTGGATACGGATTTTATATTTTTCATCCAGCCTTTGATGAGCTTTTGCCTGGTCTGAACTTAGTGTACTGTGAAGCATTTTCATCGTTATTAATTGTGAACTTTATGTGCCAATAATGAGACTATCTGAGCTCCATAATCATCCATTATTGCCATATCAGGGTTTAATTGCCCTTTGATAAAATGAATTTAATCGTAAAGGAAGAAGTCTCAGCTTTTCAACCACGCACAGTGAGGGAAAAAGGAACCCAAAATCCAACGTAATCAAAGGTTGCTGCATTGGAGCCCTGAAAAAGAGCTTTTCTTAAGTAAACAAAATGTGGAGATTCGAATTGTGATGGTTTCATATTGTGCAGACCTGGTGTACAATGCTAGGCATAAATACGATAGGCATAATGGATGGTTGGCATAATGCACGTTACCCGGTTCCAGGAGATTAGCAAAAGCAGAGCAAAATAATATCTAATGTTACCATCAATATAAGTTGTGTGCTATATCCTGTTAACAGCTTTTTGTGCAATAAGAGCATAATTTGCAATTGGGATGAAGTTTTGAAAACTAAATTAAATTTTAAAAATAACACAAAAATAACAGATTGTTTTATTATAACATAATGAGACGATAAAATGTTTTCCTTGATTTGTTTTCCGTACTGAGTATTTTCTACCTATCGACACATCAAATCATAGACTGGAGACCAACGGCTTTACTTCCCATCCGAAGGAAAGCATGATCAGAGATTAAATGCCTAAGAAAATTCCGACGGCTCCGACTGGGATTAAACCCAGGCCTTTTTGAGTGAGATGCAGTCACGCATACCACTGAGTTATTACTATGTTATTACTTTATGTAAACTCAACCAAATATGCCCACGCAAGCAACACCATTTGTTTCTCAGCGAGTAACAACAACCTTAGTGTGACTAATAGACGGTCTAAATTATGGACAACGCACCACATATAAAACTTCATTGTACCTTAAAAAGCGCAGAAGGTGGAGTTTTTTTGCAACTTATGTTTGTGGCATAAGGTGTTGCAAATAAGGTTCATGTAACATGATATTTGAATAACACAAGTTGTAAATGAGATTTTTATTGACTTAAATGCAATGTTTCACTGAAATATTTAAAACAGTACTGTGATGTTTTCGAATACATGTAAATACTTTACAAGTAACAATCAGTTTTTTTAAACCAAATAAGCGTTTTTTATGCAGTACCGATCGATCCTATTAATTTTAATTTTTTAGCTGACAGAAAGTTTATTGTACGCAAAAATGCTTAAAAACTAAGGGTTGATGCATATATTATGTCACGCTCTAAGGGGGGAGGGGGTCTAAGATTTTGTGACAAGCAATGCATTAGGTATAGGAAAACGTCACGATAGGGGGGAGGGGGTAATTTTTTGCTCGATTTAGCGTGACATAATTTATGCATGGACCCTAATTTGAAGAAGTATTTGATGCATATATTTAAACTTAAACATATTTTTTAAATAAAATGAATGGTATTAATTTTTATCAATTTCAAAAATCAATCAATCAATAAGTAATCATCATCAGTTGTGGGACTCGCATGACTCCCGGAAACAAGTAACAAAAATTCAACTCCAAATAAATAAACCAGTCAGCTGCTGCGTATAATCAATTTCAGGTCAATACATAAATCCTTGCTTTTTTACCCCTTGGTCGATCATAATATTACTATCCAATAATTAGTGAATGGGATCGATATTTTCACGCTTAAAGTTCATACTTCAAACCCTAAGGATTTAAACTCCCAGTTTATTGGGTGAGATTCGATCAATAGTTATTGACGTTTCACGCTGAGTACCCTCCGTTTTTGTAAATTTCTCTTTCTTCTGAGTAGTTAGTTTTTTTTTTATTAAAAACTACAAAGAACAGCCCTATGGGGATGTGCGCAATAGTAACGTAGGACTACGTGGTCTTATTTAATAAATCTTGTTTGTGCAGAAGCTTGTGTAGGAATAGGAATTTGAGCGGGGTTCTCTCCAGTGCTGATTCTTTAGTATGACGCGCATGGCATAGATGGCCCACAGCGACTTACGAAGAGTTACTGATTCCGATCAATAGCGGTGCGGCTTCTTCCTCCTTCTATGGATGCTCATGTGGGCTGCAGCTCACTGCTTGCATGCAGCCTTTCGTTGTGTACTGGAGAACAATGTTCAACGCCACGTGCCCAAAGCACTGCTGCTGCTGATGCCAACGACCGGACACCACCACACACGGTGATTGGAACCGTATCCGATCAGCGGTTAAGAGCAGCCTTTATAGCTAGCTGCTTACGGGAAGCCTTTCGTTGTGTATTGGATAACACGACCACTCAACACGTGGTGATTGAATAAACACCGTTTGGGGAGACCGGATGGAATTCAACTTTGAAATCCGTGTTAGGGAAATCGCTTTTCGCAGGCAATCGGTGATAATTTTAACTATCATAGCAACAGTAGCACATTCATGCAATTTTCAATAGTGACATTTTGAAAAAAAAATGCCTTTAATTTAGCAGATGCGTAGAAATATTTCTGATCGATTTGTGATAAAATTATTGAAATTGATCCAGGGGCAGCTGAGCTATTAACGTTCAAAATCTTTCATAATTTTGTTACATGTTCCATTTTCGGTTTTCACAAAGTGTACCCCCATGTTAAAATCACAGACGTAGTCCTACGTCAAAAGTGTTACTTCCCCTTTCTTATGGTTCAAATAGTCATGTCACGTGGTGTTTGGTACGGTTGTTAGTTTAATTTTTTGATTTTAAATTTGTGTCAGGTCGGTTGACAAGCCGTTTAAGCGTGTTAAAATTTTCTCCTTGAATATTTTCCCTGAAAGCTAATAAAAATATCCAGTAGAATGTTATATTGCCGAATTTTTCATTGTAAGAGTATAAAATAAAAGAAACCGGATAAATAGAATCTGAAATACCGTCAAGTAGTCAGTCGCATGGGTGCTCAATGCTCATACTATATACTACATATATACCGGACATGAACAGAAGAGTATAAATTTAGTATTTCTCACTATTTAGCAAAAGTTATAGAACTTACTTAAAAAAAACTACAAGGGACAGCCCTATGGGGTTGTATGCAATGATTCTACGTGGACTACGTGGTCTTATAAAATAAATGTTATTTGTTATCTGCCCACCCATTTAGAGTATTTTATCATACACTTCATCTGTTGTGCCTTTTTACACTAAATTATGCTTTGTATAGAAACAGCCGGTAGAATATCAGTGTCCACTCAGCTAAAGCTCCTCCACTTTTTAGTTTTTCTCGTTTAACTCCTTCTCTAAACAAGTTGGTAAATTTTAGCCCTTAGCAGAAAGACACTTCACACTATTTTCGCCGAATGTATGATCCTGTTTCACGTCATGGTTCTTCTCTATGCCTGTTAAGATAAATTAGTACTGTTATTTATTTTCTCTACTGCGCTAAATTAAACCACTAGAAATAAGAAGGGATGTTGGCATTCGAAAATGCCGATAAGCAGAATTGCAACCCAAGAACCAAAAGCGGTACTATGCTAGTTTTCACTGCTATGACGACGACTTATAAGCAAAGGGATGAAAGCCAATTCTCTTCATCGATTTCCTCTTTAGATGACCATGGCTTCACTAACCTATTTCGCACTTTTTCTGCTATGCTCTTCTATCATCCAGAACAACAAACGTATCAATGAATGTGTTTGCCGTCGAGTTATTAACGAAACAGAAAGTCGATTAAGAGAATCGATCAAAATCACTTGCACCCCTGCTTCCAAGTTTGGTTACAAGATTACAACTCTGGACAGCATTTTGTGTGGTCGTTGGGGGTGTGTGGTTCTGAATATGTCGATGAGTTTGCAAAATGTTACGCAATTGCATCCTTCCTATTCGCACACGCTCGAAGATCGGA